GATGTTGACAGCTGTTCGTGCACACTTTGACCTACTGCAGCGTCGTTTTACTCTGTACGCACGGGACGAGCATTTGTACGCGACCTCCTTTGTCTGGTAAGGAACCGGTTTGGTAAACTCGCTACATAAATAGATTCACATGCTGCTTCGAGAGAGATTTATTTCGTCCGAAATCCATGCTTTCTTTCAGATACGATTGAAGATTCACCAGTTTGGAAATAAGTTTTCAGTATCACTCCGTTTCGTAAATTACAAATCTTGCTTTGAATACTTGAAAAATCAGGTATGCCATTGGGGGCGTCGAATATGCCGTAGTTCCGATGTTGATTACATTTATTTCGCTGATCTGACACTTCGGGATTTACATTTTGGCAAAATAGTGAAAGAAACTGGGAGTAAAACTGAAATCGGTTCAGTTTTTTTGATAAAAAAAAAAAAAAAAAAAAAAAAAAAAGGAAAAAAAAAATTGTCCGTTAGAAGCGAGCTACTTGCTATCCTCCATTCAATTAGTGAGTCATTTTTCGATTTCCTCAAAAGACCCGAGCCGGTGAGCTCCCAAATCGTCTTGCATCCGTCGAAAAGGCGAGTAGTGGGTAGTAGCAATGCTTGGAGAATACGGCTGGTGGAGTACGACCTACAATTTCAGCGTTTCCAATAAGTTTTTCACCGCTACAGTCACATAGTGCGTGTCTTATTAGTTGTAGCCCGTAACTTTTCGAATCAATGGTTTCGTTTGGTCTTTGCAACTCATACAATAGTACACCACACCCGTCTGGTCACACCATAAGCAGAGTTTAACCTTTGACGATAAAGAAACGGGCTCATCAGGATTGCTTCTGTTAAGCCTGCAGCTCTACATATTCAACCTTTTTGGGTACATAATGGGAATCATAACTTTTGAAGCGTCGAAACCACTCTCTGCTTGACTTATCGGTCGCCGCAGATGCACCATAAACTTTAACAACCATTTAGTGGTTCTCACATTCCCTTTTCGTCTAACTAAATTAGAAAATCAAAAATCGGCTGAAAACAATGTTGTTGTCAGGAGTAGACGCTGTGAAACCTTTCCTATGAGCCAGGTGATCACTTCCAAGATCGGCCACATCTTGCGGGTAGAGTGGAGCCTTTAGAGAAGGCACGAAATCATTTTTTCCACCAACAATATTTTCTGAATAGTTTTTGGTTGCCATTTTCCGTCTCGTTCTCTAGCATCCAAAGGGATTCTTATCGCGCGATCCCGCGCTATCAGGTTTAACTTTTATATTATTTGTGTTTAACCTAAGTTTTTTTTTTTGTAATTTCTTCCACTACTTCTCCCCGCCAGTCGTCACCTCATGCAGCCACAGCAGCCAGCAGTGACAATACTACCGCTCGGTTGACTGAGCCTGATTATTAATATAATTATAAAACTGATTAAAAATACAAAGTGTGAATAAAAATTAAAATGAACGCCGTCAGCATTTTTTATTATCAGCAAATTCGTAATTGTGCATAATTTTAATTTGTGGCTTAAGTTTTAAATTGAATTGCTCAGCTTGCTTGAAAAATAATGCGATTTAATATTCGTAAAAAAACGAGAAAAATAAAATAAAATTAATTTAATACTCAATCACCGAAAATACAATAAATTCAAGGCATTTAAGTTCAGCAGAATAAGTGCGTGGGTTAAATACATACATACTTACGTGTATACATTTTTTTTCTATTATTTTGTGCTTACGCGTTTATGGCCGATTTTACAACAGTTCGCTATTCGTTTATTTTTTTTTAGCTGCTTGCCGCTAATTGGAAATACCAAGTACAGCCAGGTCCTTCTCTAACTGGTCTATCCAACGGAGTGGAGGTCTTCCTCTTCCTCTGCTTTCACCAGTAGGTATCGCATCGAAAGCTTTTAAAGCTGGTTTTTATCCATCCGGACCACATGATCTAGCCAGCGTAGCTCCTTTCTCTTCATTCGCTGATGTCTCCGCGCCATATACCAGGGCGGGAACGATCAGGGACTTGTAGAGTTTGGTTTTCGTTCGCCGGGAGATGCATGCGATGACTGTTTGTGCAATGACAGGAGATAATTCGTCTTGTCCTCACTCTCTACGATGCCAATATCCTTCGCTTCCTTTTCCAGTAGTCGCGGCGCGGTTGTTAAGGCCGATAATGTCCATATCATCGGCGTACGCCAGCAGCTGTACACGCTTATAGATGATTTTACCTTCTCTATTCAGCTCTGCAGCTCATTTTATTTTCTCCAGCATCGAGTTAAACAAGTCACTCGATAAGGCGTCGCTTTGTCTGAAAAATCGTTTGGTATTGAACGGCTCGGAGAGGTCCTTCCTGATTCTGAGAGAGATTTTAGTGTTGCGCAAGGTTAGTTTACAGAGCCGTATAAGTTTTGCGGGGATACCAAATTCAGACATAGCGGCGCAGAGATAGCTCCTATACGTGCTTTCGAAGGCGGCTTTAAATCGACGAAGAGGTGGTGGTGTGTGTCGATCCTCTTTTCAAGAGACTTTTCCAATATTTGGCGCATGGTGAATATCTGGTCAACGATTGACTTACCAGGTCTGAAGCCACACTGATAAGGTCCAATCAGTTTGTTGACGGCGGGCTTCAGTCTTTCACACAGTACGCTTGATAGGACCTTATAGGCGATATTAAGGAGGCTTATTCCACGGTAATTGGCGTAGATTGTGGGGTACCTTTTTTAGAGATTGGGCAGAGCACACTTAAATTCCAATCGTTGAGCACGCTTTCTTCCGATAATATTCTGCAAAGTAGCTAATCCATGCATTTTGCCAGCTCTTCACCGCCATGCTTGAATAGTTCTGCCGGTAGGCCGTCAGCTCAGCCACTTTGTTGTTTTTTTAGGCGGGCGATTGCTACTCGAACTTCTTCATGGCTAGGGAATGGGACGTCTTTTGGCTGTTCCATTTTCACTGCCGTTCAGCAGGATCCTCCATAAGCCTAGTATACTCTGGGTATCTGTCATTACATCACCTCTTTGTGTCCTACAAGTGTCTGCTCCGGTTTTGAAACCTTCTGTAAGCCGTCGTATCTTTTCATAGAATTTTCGAGTTTTACCTTTGTCGGCCAGCTTCTCAAACTCTTCATACTCACGTATCTGGGACTCTCTCTTTTTTTTTTTTTGCTGCTGCGTCTTGTTTCCCGCTTCAATTCTCGGTATGTATCCCATCCCGCACTCATATATTTAAGTTAAAACAAACATATGCTACATATAACATGCATAGGGTCCTCCATTTTGTGATTTTAAAAGTACAGGGGTGTGATTGGACATCTGTCAATTTTAACTGTTAAATAGAACCTCTTTAGTTTTAGTAATAAATCAGGTATTTATGAAAATGAAACGCTTAACAACCGCACAACACGTTAAAAGTGTTATAAAAAGTGATTAATCCAATGTGTCCACGTTTCGTGCTTTAAGAGAAGATCATGGTGGCATTAATGACCAACTACTCAAGCAAGAGACTGGTTGGATTTCATATGTTGTAAGGCTCGTGTATCGTCGTTTTGCTCGTTCCAACTCAAATATCGCTCCACTGCGGATACGTATATCTGGTTATCGCATTTAGTGCACGGAGTAGTCTCAACTAATTGAAGAGAGGCCATTACACCAATAAAAGAAAAACTCTTTGGTCTGAAGATGTGATTGGACCTTACTTTGAAAACGACAACGGCGAGATAGTCACTGTCAATTCGGGGTGTTATGGTCGTATCGAAGTTTATAAAAATTCACGAGGCGGTCATTTGAACGATAATTATTTTAAATGTATTTTATTTACGTTTGTTTTCGAAACCCCTACATGTATTACCCTGCCCATGCGTGCAGGCACATTTCGTATAGGAAAAAATATTTTCTTGTGTCGCTATCCGTCGTCGGCTCTTTTCAAACAGTTATATTTTTTGATTAAACACTTTTTAATAATTATCATCAATTGTCACTGTCAACACTTGTGTCGGCGTGTAGCAAAAACAAAAACAAAACAAAAAACAAATAGTTGGCATTGAATTTATCATTTCAAGTATAATTTGTGCGTGAGCTTTTGAAAGTATCTTCTGCCTAAAAGCCAGTGTATATTGGTACACTACTACGATATTTGGAAGATCGTCAGATACGAGTAGTTTATTTTAGTGAAAGATAAATACGCGTTTCGCACAATATTCGGTCGACATAAACGTCCGGCGACGTAAAGCGAGCGCAGAAAACAATTTTGAAGAGAAATCTAAAGAATGTTTTTCGGTGCTATAAAGACATCGTAATCACGATGTGAAAAGGGCATATCACTTGAGGGAGACTCTATTGAAAAATAAGAGAAACATAAACATAAACTAAACATTTGTTTCATTAAGTACTTGAGGCCGCAAACTTATCTTTCGCCCCTCGTATATATGCAAGTATGTCACTAGAAATCTACATTTTAGAAACGAGTTTTTATACCTTTCATGAACAAAAAATGGTATATTAACTTTGGTATGAGGTACGTTGTACTCGTTAGTACCAGAAGGAGAGGAGATAGACCCACCAGGGGTTCCAGCGATGGAATCAGCTTGTCGACAAACTGATTAAGCCTCCTCATTCTGTTTGCGTGCAAACTTATTTCTCAGTATTTGAGATATATCAACAATACTTGCGTCGGAAAGTGCATTTAACTCTATACTCTATTGATCATTTTTCATAATCGGTTTGATCGGGCCACCACAACTTGCAACTTTCATACTCGGTCGAACGATTTGTTCATAAAAGAAAACTTTTATTTGATACCAAAATAAAATACAACAAAATTTGAAATGTGCCTGAAAAGCATAATGACATACATACATACATTATATAGTACATATTACATAATAATAAACATAAATATTATGTTTCGAATGAAACAAAGTAAGGGCAATAGAAATAACAGTGCAGTATTTATTGTAGTTTGCTACAAATTATATGATTTAAACTAGTGTTTTTTATTCATTATCTCATTTTTTTTCCTCTACAGATAACGAACTGTGTTTGTCTGCCTGGCAAGGCCACAAAACGTGCGAAACAGCTAAGCTTGGACAGTAGCGAGTTGACAATCTGCGCGTGCGGTTGGAACTTACAAAGTGTCAATAGTGACGAGGCGGCCAAAAAAGAGAACAAAATATAAACAAAGTGAGAGACGCAAATAGAGAATAGTTGCATGTGTAGGTGTAATCGGCAAATATACAAACGTACATATGTACCGCAATATTTACATATATACATATGTAATTCGTATCAACTTACAGGGAGTGGGACGAAAGTCGGCAATGTTTTGATGTTTTAAACAACACAGTGACAACATACAACTATAGCAACAACAACAACTAGGTTTTGTTATTAAAAATGAAAATGTAAAAAAAAAAACAAAGAAAAAACAAATGTAATGTTTATGAAATGAAATGTGACTACTTGCAACATGTGGAATGCCACTCAACATTTACCAGCATTAACAATGCATATAACGAAACAACAACACCAGCAACAACAACCACAGCAAACCAACTGCCAGATGCAGCAACAAGCGGTCGTTTCAACGACAACAACGAACATTTGACACGGGCGTTTGCCGTGGAACGAAATGGCCAAAGCGCATGCGCAAATGAAAAGTGTTGAATATAAAAAAATTTGGAAACATATCAAATGGCGGCAAAACCATAGCAATAACAGTACATTTTATAGCGTAAACGAGTAAAGTGTTTGTGTGAAGAATTTCGTGTGTTTAAAAGTGAACAATTTTGAATTTAATTTAAAAAAAAAACAAAAAAAATATATTTGTGTAAACAAATTAGTTTGTTTGTGTATTTTCTGCTTTTTAGATGCATGTACCAAAAATGAAAAAAAAAACAATAATAATAAATCAATTTGTATTGCTCTGATTTTTAGTAAACAAATTAGAGTTGAAATATCAGGAAAAAAAAATTAATTTTAATAAAAAATTAATTTAAAACTATTAAAACTGAGACTAATTAAACAACAAATAAAAACAAGTGCATAAGAATTAAAAATTCGATAATATATAATGCAAAAGTAACTAAATTTTAAAGTTAGATGTAAACAGTGTCAACTATATATTTCCTTTAAGCCACATTTTCCCAAGTGCCGTACTTAATTTTACGCAAACATTAGACCGCTATTGTGATCAATTAATGAAATTGCTAAAAAAATATGAATAAATGAATAAAGTAAATTATTAATTTCATAAATTAAAGCAAAAATAACAGAATAAATAGCAGACACAAGTGAAAGCTATCTGTGCCATAATTGATAACTGTTTATTAAGTAAATTAAGTATAATACATAGCTCCAACGTTACTTGTGAAAGCTTAGTCGCAGCAGTGTAATACAAAGAGCGACATTTCTAACAGCTAAAGCTTAAATTAAAGCTAACTACGCATAAATGCTTACTACATGTAAATGAAAGCTAACTACGTATAAGTTAAATCTTACTAAGCTTAAATTAATGCTCGGCACACATAAATGAAAGCTTACTACGTAAATATGAAAGCACATTGCGTCTAGAGAAAAACTTAGTACATATGAATGCAGCTTTACTAAGCATTCATGAAATCTCAACGCCCATAAATGAAAGCTTACTATATATATAAGAAAGCTTATTACGCATAAACGAAAACTTGCTGAGCATAAGCGAGAGCTTACTAGGCATACGTGAAAGCTTACCAAGCATACGTGAAAGCTTACCAAGCATGCGTGAAAGCTTACTACGCACACGTGAAAGCTTACTAAGCATACATGAAAGTTTACCAAGCATAAATGACAGCTCATTCAATTAATGTAGGTTCACTAATAAAACGTTTCATCATTCAGCGTATTAAGAAAGCGATTGAAGTGTAAGCTTGGTCACCACAACTGAAAGCTTAATAACATTAAAGGAAAGCTTAAAAAGGTAGGCTCCGAAACATATCTAAACAAAAGTAACGTCAAATTGTAAACGTACTAAGCGCCTAATACACGCAAACCACCGAATAAAGGTTCCAAACAAACACTAATTAATTTAAAAAGGGATAACAAGAATTTCTCTCAATGCAACAAATTTAATTGCAAATATTTTCCAAACCCTACAAAAGCACCAACTGAACATCATACCCAATGACAATATCAAATCGTTTGAATCGCAGACGAAACATCAACATCATCAGTAATAACGGTGACAACAACAACTCCACCGATATTGAATTATTTCCGGTTGGCACAACAGCAGAATCAGCAGAAGCAGCAAAACCGCACTACAACTCGGACGCGACGCGGCAGAGTGAGGCGTGTAGTCGTACTGTAAAACGCTTGCGGCGACCAGAAGCCGCTGCCGTCAAAATGACGGCGCTCGGCCAACAAGCGACAAATGAAATTACAACTGTAACAACGGCAAAAACAACAACAGCTGCGACGGTAAAAATGAATGACGACGCCATTGCCACAATAAATGAAAATTCTCGCGGACGTATGAGTAAGTTTTTGCCCGGGAAATCGCTCAAATACGAGCAACTCATAAATCAACCGAAACATGTTGTGGGAACAACAGCAACAGCAACAGCAACAGCAACAGCAGTAGCAGCAACAACAAAGGCAGTTAGTACAAAAAGTACGCTAACAAAAGCGGTTGGCCGTGATGGTATAACTTCCGAAGCCAACGGTAATGAGTGGCCCCAACACTCGCATTGGTGTTTGGAAGATGAAGTGCCGTCGCCCGCGTGGTATGCCTGTGAAGGCGAACCTTCGGCGACGTCAGCGCTCGCCACAACACTACCCGCAACATTGCTGGCGACGGCGAATGGTAGCACAGCGTCAATGAAGAATTGGCAAACGCATTTGGAAGGCGCGGAAATGCATTTATCACCGACGCTTACCACGGCCAGCTCGGACATTGTGAATGCGAATGTGAAAGCTAAAGCGCCGGCGAAAATGAGGAGCCGGCGCATGAATGCCAATGGAAGTGGAAGTGGAAGTGGAAGTGGCTGTGGCAGTAGCTGGAGTGGCAATTATCAACAGCAGGATTCGCATTCGACACACCAACTAACGGCACGAGTGCCAATTACAACAACAACGGCAATAACAACCAACAAACCAGCACGTTCGCAGCAGCACACACCAAGCCATCAGCATGTCGGGCACAAAAGCGGCGGTATTGGTTTTGGCAACATGACCGTTAATGGCAACAGTTATGGCAGCAGTAATAATGTGAAATATTTTGGCAACGATGCTGCGGACGCTGACTGTAATGGCACAACTGCCGTCGACACGGATGCTCTGCTCAGCGCAGCGCTAAATGTCAGTAGCACAGAATCTGGCTACCACCACCACCATCACCATGACCACCGGCAGTCGACGACAAACAGGCTGCACGGTAACAATGCCAACTCAACTCGCAGCAGCAAAGGTTTCTACTACACCTTAGTCAACAGCGATGACGGTGACTTTGCTGACTCTAGCACATCACAACCGCCATCTGTCTCCGCCTCCGCTGCCACCACGCCGTTGTATTACTCTTCGACGACGTCATCAGCGCGTTCAGCCTCTTCACCCGCCACTTTTTACACGTCAAACGGCACCACCTCCACCTCCTCCGCCTCCGCCTGCTCCTCCACTGCGCCGCTGAGGTCTGGGTCTGGCTCGGGCTCAGGTTCAGGCTCTGCGCACGGGTCATCATCATCATCCGCTGCCGTTGCATTGGCGTGTAATTGTTGCAGTAATTTAATTGCCCGTTGCTGCTTCGGCATGCCACTGCTGAAGGCAATCAATGTGCGGCGTTGTGTGTTGGCTTTATTCGCCATAACGGTCGTTACGATCTTTTACTACACTCATTACGTCGATACGGGCGTTTTTGTTGGGTAAGTAACATTTGTGTGTTTATAAATTTGTATTTAACGGTATATGAGTAAGGCGAATGGTCATATCTACATAACAAAGGCGCCGGAGAATTATTAAAAAAAAGATATATATGAAGTGTGGTCACACCAACAAGCAGAAGTTTCGTAAAATTTTTGTTAAAAAAAAAATGTAAAAAAAAATTTAAAATTATTGTTGTTGACAAAAAATGTATGAGAAGTGCTCTTTAAAGCTTTTGTCTCTGTCACTTGGAAATTGGAATGCAATGAAATACTCTGTACCTTGTTGTGGAACAAATTTTTGGTATTTTAATTTTTTTAAAAACCGTTTTCGACATTTTAAAATTTCTCGAAATTCAACTGTTATTAAATTTGCTTAAACCTTTTTAAAAATAAAAAAAATATTATCTTGAAAATACTGATTCCTAGAGGATACCATATACGATATGTATATAGACACTTAAAATCCGTCCCTTGAGATGCGACAGAGAGTAAAAATATCCTGACCCTAACCTAAATCAACTGCTTAAGTATTTAGTTACTAAAGCTCTAATCAAATCTAAGAGGCAACCAAAGAAAAGCGTAGAGTATAAAGAATTAAAAGAAGCGTTGGGATTATAAATTTTCAAAAAGGGGAGATTATCTAGATCATTTTATACCTGGAATGTAATAGCCCGCCACGTCTCAGTTTTTTGTTACACTCAGTTGAAGAACGTAAGCATTGTTTTGCACCAAAACTACAAAAGAACATTCGGTTGGCTATCAAGTTACTTGAAACGCAGCAAAAAATACGCTAGTGGAGTTGAATCTATTGTGAATGAAAGCTTTAAGCATTGTGATCAGTTGTCTGAAAACAAATATGAGTTAAATACCTTTCCACGCCATATCTTCTAAAGGGTGATTTTTTAAGAGGTATAGAAACGTTTTTCAACAAAAAAAAAAAAAAAAAAAACATTAAATTCAGGAAAAATGCATTAAATTTTTTTTTTTTTTTGAATCGATAGTACGGTCCATATAATTTAATGTTTGAAGATTATTTCATGCAAATGTTAACCATGACTGTGACTCAAGTGCTCCCTTCGCTGAGCCCAATTTTGGCATACTCTTTCCCACATTTCGGCCGGTATTTCAGGAATAAATGCCTCAATGTTGTCTTCCAATGCGTCAATTAAAGCGGGCTTGTCGATAGCGTCACAAAAAATAGTCTGAAGGCGTTAAATCGCGCGATCTAGGTGTTCAATTGACCGGTGCTGAACGTGAAATAAAATGTTCACCCAACTAGCTTCTCAATTAGTCCATTGTTACACGTGCTGGGTGGCATGTGGCACCGTCTTGTTGAAACCGCAAGTCATGCAAGACAAGCTCTTGCATTTTGGGTAAAAAAAGTTTGATATCATCTCACGGTAGTGAAATTCGCATCATCTTTGAAGAAGTACGGTCCAATGATGCCAACAACCCCTAAACCGCATCAAACAGTGACTTGTTCTGGATGCATTGGTAGCTTTTGCAATGCTTCTGGCTGATCATCACTCCAAAATCTTAAGCCAAAAATGAGCCTTGAAGCGCGCGATGAACTTTCTTAACAGAGCACGCATTTTGATAATAAAATGCAATAATTTGCTAGCATTGTTCGTGCGTCAACTGCTTAAACCAGTGTTCCCTAAAAGATAATAGCTGAAAAATCACCCTTTACATACATAAATAAACGCTTTTGCTTCAGATATCAGTGAATTAATTGAAAGAAAAAAATTTGGTATCTTAAACTTACACTAACTCAATTTGTAAAAATTGCTTTCACTGTTCACTTGCATATTATACCAAAATGAAAATATATAATTGTTTGTATGTAGTCCTTTCACACTCAACGCTAGTACTTTAATGATATTAAACTTTGCAATTTTCGTCTTCCTCCTTTTAAGTTGGCAACGTGCACGACCATGAAAAAGGTAAACTTTCTTAAAATTAAGTTGCAACCATTTACGCATGCATTGCATACATATATATACTTACTCATACATATTTATGTGTGCATATACATATGTATGGATAGTCTGGCAGGCTAGGGTGCACCTTGTGGAGTAATTGAATTTTCATAGGTCTGCAGTTATCGTTGGCTGGCCACATTTTTCGCCAGGCTCCATTGCCGGCATAGTTAGTTAGTAACAAGTTTTAATTTGAATTTGCTTGTATATTTGTTTCCACTCGGTTTTTGGAAGCCACGTTTTTACTACTGCTTCTAATACTCCTACACTACTACTACTAGCAATGGTAGTGCGGTAGGTGCTGTTATGTAGACAATATTGTTGTTATTCTGTAGGTTTATTTCTTCTTTGAGCTGCACAATCTCTATGCCTTGTTACCGTTATTGTTGCTAACTTATGCATTTATTTTCTATTATTTTGTTTGTTTTATGCTGTACTATGTACTATGTACACAGAGTATACTAGCTTTGTCGAAACAACGGTTGCGTTTAGAAAAAAATAGAATAAATAATGAATTTAAAATAAAATAAAATAAAATAAAATAAAATAAAATAAAATAAAATAAAATAAAATAAAATAAAATAAAATAAAATAAAATAAAATAAAATAAAATAAAATAAAATAGATTAAAATAAAATGGAATAAAATAAAATAAAATGAGATAAACTAAAATAATATAAAACTAAAGGAAATCAAATTAAATGAAAAGAAATAAAATGGAATAAAAAATAATAAAAAAAAATAAAAAAAGTAATATAATCTAAAAAAAAGAAATAAAAGAAAAGCAAAAATAAAATAACATAAAATGAAATAAAACAAAATAACAAAAACAGTTTCACTCGGTATTAGCTCTTCCTTACCTCTTTGCCTCAGATTTCTCTACAGCTTGTTAGGGTTATTACTTTTTGTGTACAATTTTTGCTTACAATTTCGTTTACTAACTTCTTTTAGTTGAATTTTTGTATAGGCGATTCGTTGATTCAACCAACTAACTGTTTGTTGTTACATTTGTACCTCCACCGTAGCAAAATTTTCCGCTTACGCCTCCAATCTTTTATTACTCTTCTTCTTCTTCGCTTCTGATCTGTAAAATGCCTTCTCCTCCACCTGCGTCTCCTCCTCATTTATGTATGTATATCCGCACCTCTTTACGGAATTAAGCGCAAATAAAAGTGTAATTTGCTTTTCGGTTTGTTGGCTGGTGATTTTAAGAGTGTGCGGTAATTGCGCCAGTCAGCAGGAAGTAATATTAAGTTATTATAATAAAGGATAATTGGATAATAGTAATTTCATTCTAATTTTAAAGGAGACGGAAATACTCGACAAACTTTGTGATTAATATAAATATGTTTATTGTGTGTGAATGAAATGAGAGCAAGATTTATACTCATAATCAGGATAAGAACTGGTCAACTGATAAGGATGTGCTGCAGGAAATGTATTTCGAATTGCTTATGACTAAGATATTAAAAATAAAAATACATTAACTATCCTTTTCTCAGATTGAAATGTTTTTTTTTTACGTTGATCATCTTGAATTCTGGCAACGCAGTTCGGGAGAGTTGCCGTACCTTCAGAATGCTAAAGGAAAACACTCACCTGAGAAAACACTCAAGAAGAAGGTAAGACCGGCAACATAGATATAATATCTGAAAGAATTTCATATTAAAATCTTATAATCAATCCAAAAACTAATAGCCTTTTAGCAGAAAAGTGCTGCTGCTGGCTCATCGTGTTGCTCTTTAGAAGACAACTTTGCCTCTTCTCTTTAGGCGGGTCTAACTTCAGCCAACTTTTTGTTGTTTCATTTGTTGCAAAGGCCAAGGGACTCTTATGTACTTTTATGCAACGATTTCTGCCTCTTCTTCGATGTTGTTTATGTTTGATTCCTTGTGAATATTTTAATTATATATGCACTATGGAGCTCTCGGTGTATAGGGTTATTCAATTTAAGGTTTCAACAGCACAATTCTGTATTTTGACACCGGTCTTACAAGATTTTCCAATAATATGTGTCATTTTGTTATCCGAAAAAAAACCTTTCCTTTAAAAGATCGATGGTTTCGTTGCTTGTAAGCAAAGCCGTAGAACCGTCTTAAATCTCAATGACCCCGCCGGACCATAAAACCGCACCAAACAGTTATCCATTTAGAATGGAGAGGCTTTTCAACAATAAGTCTTGGATTTTCCAAGCCACAGATGCGACAGTTTTACTTATTGAACCCAAGTAAGCCATAAAAGTGATTTCTTGAATATTTTTTTTTTTTCGCTGAAAATAAGTGAAGTCTTCCTGTTAATCTAAGCAAAATACCACCATTGTACCGAATTTAAAGTAAATCGAACCATATTTTTTTTGGAGTAAGTCCGCCACTGGTGCTCTTCCCGGAGAGAAGTGCAGTCTTTCTGTTAACCTAAGCGAAAACACATCTATGTTCTAAATTTAAAGTAATTCGATCCATTAATAAGTTATTTTTGAATAGGTCTATCCCCGGTCCACTTCCCGAAATTTTTTTTCGTAAAACCTTTCCCACTTTTGGAGATTTTTGGAAATTACTCGACTTTCCTATGCAGACATGAGATTTTTATATATGCTCGTATTAGGTTCATTAACGTTTCTGGAACAAGCAACAACACTGTCAACAAAAACTGGAAATTCCTGCAATTTGGAGCACCGCGCTAAAAAAATACAAAGTGGAAAAGTCGGCTTCTGGGGTTAGCATGGCAATATTATTAATTGATTACTTCCAGACGATAGTGTGATAAAAGCGACCGCAGAAAACAATTTTGAAGAGAAATCTAAAAAAAAAATTTTTCGGTGCCATTACGATGTGAAAAGTGCATTTCACTGCCTTTGGGTTCAAGAAATTTTATGCAATTGGTTTTAAAGCGAAAAAAATATTTCAAATAGCTGAACTTTTTTGCCAGCCTCTCAGAGCGGGCGCTGAGTACAATGAAAACTTGTTTTTCCCAAATCACAATTTTCAAACTGGAAGGACAAATTTTTCGGACCCTATAGCATCG